GAAAGTGCTTTATCCTATCATGTCCGTGCGAGAGGGATGGTACGTTCTCACGCAATTTGCGTTTCCGGAAAGAAAGAAAATGAAATAAGTTTAAGCAGGCAAAAAACTGCAGAAGAAGGAACGTTTGTACCATTCTTTTGTGCTGTCTTTGTAGTGATGATTCGTCAACAAACGCGACAGGTTACAAACAAAACATTACATAAGAACAGTGTATGTAATTTGTCAAAGATGGTTGAAAGTGTTCTTTCATCAAGACGCATAATCCCAAAATAGCTAAAGTCATAATTAAAGGTCTGTTGCACTTCTCAGGGTTATTCTTAGAAGAGCTGAGTTGAGTTGTGTTTCCTGTTTTGTGAAAGTTCTTAACATTATCGGATTATATTAGAATTTTTTTATCTTACTTAATTTTCTTAATATTTTACTTTATTATGAAAATCATTTACACACATATTGTTATTACCGGATGGTGACAATCAGGTTAAGAAGGTAAAACTGGTAGTCAACCTATTTCTTTAATAAATTATTTATTTTACCACTACTAAGTTTGAAACAAAGATTCTTTAGTTATACTTTGAGCAAATTAGATTTGTTAGATTGGGAGGGAAAGTAATAATAAGCCTGCAAAACAAGCCAAACCCGCATTAAAGCTTAATTTTTTCCCTGACAATCGATCACCACCTTATATTACTAACTTCTCGTGCTTTTGTTGGTAAATTAAGTTGAGAAATTTTTATCAAATATTAAGGTGATAAAATTGTGCACTAACATTTCATTTTTGATTTAGTAAATTTGATTAAAAAAGTTTTTGACTACCACGACATTTGAGAAATTCAAACACCCTTACTGGAGATGTACACAGCTAGAGCAAAGAAATAAACGGACAACCTTGAATGAGTTTTGATCTAATGATCGGATCTTCACATTTTAGGATTCAATATTATTAGTTAGAGGGGGTGACCTCAAATATGCTAATTAATTAGCGCAGACAATAATTTAAGTTACTAAATCAGATACAAAAACATTTTTTTCCTGAATAAACATTTCTTTTTTTCCGACGGATTCGGATTTTAGACCCTCAAAATGGCCATAATCTGGGAAATATGGTCCCAATAGTTTGTTTAGGAGAGCGGCCCAAAGTTTGGTCACCTTAATGTCAATTTTATTTTTTGCATATTTCACTATATCTTGAGAATTTTTTACCGAATCACGCAATTATGAAATTTTTTTATCCAAAGATGATTCGCTGCAAAAAAACAAGTTATAGTAAATGTTTAGTATTTTTTATTATTTTATTTATTAATAGTCTAAAAAATTTTGAACTGTAAGGCATACATTTCTCACTTCATTTTAAGGATTATAATCCTATATGGAAAAATATAGAGCTTGAGCAAAATCGGTCGAATAGTTTCTGATAAATTGAATTTTGGAAAAGTTGCATTTTTTAAAAGTCATCTTTTCTAGTAGTATTTATTCGTTTAAATACGACTAAGCCGTATTCATGCAAATTACCTGATCAGATTAAAAGAGCTACAAAATTTTATTCGTTTAATTTTAAGTAAAGATGAGCAGAAACTTCTTGGTTGGTATCTACGAAATATTCTTGTTACGCTTAGGAACTAAAGTTATTATAAACTGACTAATAAAATTATAAAATGATTTCAAAGAGGAAGCACTTTTTTGCAATTTAAAGACTTTGTTCTTAAAATGTTTGTTATTACGAAATAACTCCAATATTTTTGCTTTAAAATATCAATTTTTAACAAAGGTATATAAACTTTTATAGGCACATAAAAAAGAAAGTAAGACTTATTGAAAGAACGTTTCATCTTTACCTTTTTTGGAGGGATAAACTATCTATGGTTATCACTATTTATTAACAGTTATAATCTATCTAGAGGAATTAGACGGATTTTTTTCGAAATACCAGTTCGGACACTACATCTTTTAATAAATGGTAATGCACGAAGACAACTAGGATTAATGGCGATATTTATATACATTATATACATTGATATATTGATTATATATTATAATGATATTGAATATTACTGAGATATATTTGATAATATTCAGACTAAATGTCAGAATTTAAATTTGTAATTAAAGTTTTGGAGAGATATAGAGTTTAAACTCTAAGAGAAGGGAGTAGAATGCTTTTGAGTGGAAATTACCCCTTAGATAATTTTCTCAAATAAATATATATGTTTTTGTTGTTAATAAGTAGTAGTAGTCACGGTTTGTTTGCTGCTCGTGGCCTAAATATAGAAATAAATTTTTACCACGTTTATATAAACTTGCCTTCGTGTATGTCTGTCCGGGTGAAATTTTGTAATCGATTTTAAACTAACTTCCCGACTAGCTACAAACAGGATTTTTTCAATGTATTATAGCGAT